ATCAGCTCAATCCCAAATCCCCTCAAGAACACACCTTTCATCGACCAAGATTCTTCCTTGTCCATCCCTAATCCCAAGCGGCATCAAGTTTAACAGTACCCTTCTTCTCGATTCGGTAAACCAACCAAAACCCACCATCAAAATCACGGGCTCAAGCTTTATCACCCCGGAAAATGGATCGTTATTCGCCAAAACTCTTGCCTCTATTGGAAAACCAAGTCCCATTTCCAATCCCTTTCGTTTTAGCCAAATGGCCTGTAAATTCGCTCAAAATCGATCGTCGTCATCTGCAAATTCGTGCCCTTTTGCTTCGGATTCGGTCCCGGTTGTTGATACTGTAAGGTCACCCATCGCGGGCTCGGATCCTATCGACGCGGGCTCTTCGATAAGAAAGCCCATCAGTTTATGGCCCGGAATATACCATTCACCTGTGACAAATGCATTGTGGGAAGCAAGATCAAGTATTTTCGAGAGGCTGTCGAATGCACAAGAAAGTGATCTCCCACAGAGTGAGTTGATCTCAAAAACTCCATCTAAGAGTAGGACATGCGTTCTGTATAAGTTTTCGAGTGATTATATACTCAGGGAGCAGTATAGAAATCCTTGGAATGAGATTAGGCTTGGGAAGTTGCTTGAAGATCTTGATGCTTTGGCTGGAACTATATCCTTTAAGGTACACCTCAACTTTCTTGATTAATGTTAGTTAGGTGGTGAAATGGGGATAAGCACAGACTCTAGTCTCTGTAAATAACATTGTTATCCATCTTTTGTATCTAATTTACCAATGCCGATTGTTGACATTTTGTTCTGTTTATCTTCTTGTTTGACAAACACAATAAGTTGGGGGTTTTTTCTGGATTCTTGGACGAGCCCGTGACTGCATTTATAATATCAGTTGATTATATGATCCGAGAAATACATTACGAATATTAAGACAAAGAATTTGACAAAAACGAAAGTGTGATTCCAAATTATGCTGTCCCAAGCCAAAGAAGAAGGCATTCAAGCTAGACTGTTATCACTGGGTTCCATGAGCACGAGCAACTAATAAATGCCGAATTTATCTTCGCGTTGGTAGATTAGCTAAATGCACCTACTAGTAAACCGCTCCAAGAATTCTCCAGATTTTATAATCTCAAAAAATAAATAATAACTACTTCTCAACAAAGAAATTCTGTCAAATATCATTTGTTTTCCTGTTTAATGTGGCCTCTACTTTTTGACTCATTACTATTATTTATTTTCTGTTTTCTCTTTCCGTTTTTTTTTTTTTTTTTT